TATGCAAAGGAGATATTATGGTAGTGAAAAGAACAGATTGTCTACAGATAATTCTTTTTTGCCATAACAGTACATAAAATAAGAAAGGCTCTGCGTATTTGGTCTGATGGAACAGGTAATCTTGTTTTTTGAAAAGTAATGCTAGAAAGAATACCTTATCCATAAGTGCCAAGTTTGTGTAGAGATTAGCCAAATGATTAGTTCAACTAAAGATCTACAATAAACAACCATACAACCCAAAACCAATTTAATATGTACACAGGTAAAATGTTTGCACTTTAAAAACCAACTAAGCTTGAAGCTTTTTCAAAATTGATTGGTGATTTTAAAGAAAACAGCATACTTCGAGTCCTCATTTTAAGTGGGGCTTCACAACTGGCAATCTTACAGCTTTAGTCTTTATAAAATTCACGTTATACTACATAATATTTCGGTGAGACTATAATTTATGGAAGATCTTTGAGCGACGCTGAAGTGGCTTTGAGAGTTTCCACATACTAACTGGGGTCAAATGAGGGTTGTGAACCAGTGAGAGCTTGGGATTAATATTTACAGTTGATAGTTAGGGTTAGGAATTATATTTAGGGTTTCAATCACGAACTAGCAGCTGAAATGCCGAAACACTATGTAGACAAATGATTGAATAAATTTCGCGCCAAAGTCTAGATGTTACCTTAAATCTCGTTAGTCTGTCCATAAATTATGGTCTCGCCCATCGTTCTACTGCATTTTATTTCTGAGGAAGGCACACATTTATGATACGTGATCAACAAAGTGAAGCGACTTCATGTATCAGTTTCCCCCCAGACGTGTTAGCGGACTACGGTTAGATTTATCAGTAAGAGAATAAATACAAAACATTCAGGCTGAGAAATTATTAGAATTAATATACATGACGGCATACGGAGGGAGCAGAAACAATTGGTTAATGCATGTCAGTCAGAAATCAGATTTTAAAAGATCCTACGATACCAATCACTAAAAAACTTTACATGGTTCGTGGTGTAGCGGTTAGCACTCTGGGCTTTGAATCCGGGGTACCTAGCCTGTCGTATGCCCTGATGGTGTTCTCGTAACTTTCCGGTTGCTTGATCTGCCAAGGGCGATGGGACAGTGCATGATGTTATTGTTGTGTGCTAGGTTCAAAGAGAATTGTATGCTATATGCATGCAAATCCGCCCCGTTATTGTTCCTATTTCATGCCCGCGAATGCCCTGGTACGGCCGAGAGTGGGGTGAGTCCACTCTCCCTCTCGAAATACTCTCACACGGCCGCGCGTTAACAGCCTCTGCCAGGGAAGTCCTACTCAATGCCTTCTCGTGGCGGGGGTGTTGTTTGCAAAAATGAGAGGACGAAAAGCGAATGTCCGACGCTTTAACTGGCTCACAAAACAATGGTGCACATGGGCTCCAGTATCCTGGTCACAGGCTACCATAGGAATGCATCTCCTTACGATGCTCCACTGCCTTGTGGATCAGACCTTTAGGTCAAAGGCTCAGGGTGTGGCTCCTTAAGATATCCATCTCTTTCGGTTTGGGTACCCGGGCAGTATCACAGCCCACACACAAACGATGAACTCTATGTCTATGGCAACTACTTTTCTCGCTTCGAAAAATAATCAATTGATTCTTATAATTATCATTACTATTATTGTCGTTATTAATACTATTATTACTACTATTATTGTCATTATTATTATTATTATTATTATTTTCCACATTATTCACCCTCTTTTAGACTCATACAGTGGCTTGTCCTTCGTGGAAATCCGACTGTATCTAAACGTTATCGAGTCACTGTCCGGTTGAAAATCGTATGTTACCACCGAATATGAGTACTGAAGCACTTTTTCTGAAATCACATGCACCATTCAAACTGGCTGCCTTCAACGTTCGCACATTTATGCAGGTCGGACAACAGATAGGGCTGGCTATGTCTTTGGAAAGTCTTGATATTGATGTTTGTTGTCTATCCGAGACCTGTATTTAAGACTCTGGCGAAGTACAACAAATTCGATCTCTATCTGTCGATTCAAAAAGCTTGTTTTACGTGCGCTTATCTGGGTACCCTGTGGCATCTTGCTGGCGTTAGTGTCGCACTAAGTGCTAAAGATGAGGCAGCACTAATTGATTGGATCCCCATTAACAGTCGGTTATGTGCTGTTAAAATAGAGAGTTTCATAAATGTGCGAAGAAATCGGCATGAGAAACGATGTCTTTTCGTCATCTCCGCCTATGCCCCGACAGATTGCAGCCCGCATGCAATGAAGGATGAGTTTTACCACCAGTTATCTGTTCTTCTCCAGAAAGTGCGCTCGACAGATATTGTAGTACTAGCCGGAGACTTGAATGCTCAGGTTGGGTGTCTAGGCACAGAAGAGAGTCGTTTAGGTGGCCGATGGGGACTTGCTGGTCGCAGGACAGATAACGGGGACCGTCTACTGCAACCGTGCACAGACCACAACCTGTTTCTGGCTAGCACTAACTTTCGGTACAGTCATCGCCGATGTGCCACCTGGCGTCCTCCCTCTGCATCTCAAGCCTGGACTCAGATTGATCACATCGCGATCAGCTTCCGCTGGCGTGGTTGTGTACAAGACTGCCGCTCCTTCTGGAGTATAAATGAGCATTGGTTGCAATTGCATGACGCCATGAAAATGGCGGGAACAGTCAGTTGTGGGCTTGCGAAACGTCCCGCTTATAAGTACTGGATTTCTTCAGGTTCCTTACAACTTATTGAAGCCCGCCGGTCGACTCCGGGTGACCGTGAGTTTGACCATAAACGAAGGAAATTGGGCAAAGTGTGCGTAAGGATCGAGAAGCCTGGTGGTCGGAGCGTGCTAATGAGCTGGAAGCAGCAGCTGCATCTGGTAACTACCGGAAGCTCTTCCAGCTCATCCGAGCCACTGGCAGCAAGAAGTCTGGTGTGAGTGAAACAATCTGCGAGGATGATGGGATGCCAATCACTAACATCCATCGACGTCTTGGACGATTGGCAGAATTTTTTGAAGGGCAGTTCGACTGGCCTGCTGCTCCGGCAACATCGGTCAGACTGTCCTGCCCCCCATGGCAGGTGACGACTGATCCACCAAATGCGGAGGAAGTCCTCAAGGACCTCCACCTCTTGAAGCGTTACAAATCACCTGGCCCAGGTGACTTACCTCCGGCTCTTTTTAAAGATGGTGGTGACTATCTGACTAAGGAACTGACGACGTTGTTTACAAAGGTGTAGGAGCTAGAGAGTGTATGAACGTCATGGAATGAGTCGATAGTTGTCCCTATCTTTAAAAAGGGTTCACGTCGTTCCTGTAACAACTATCGAGGGATAAGTCTACTTCCGATTGCGTCCAAGCTATTGGCTTCCGTCATACTTCGTAAGTTGTTCAAAACCCGAGAAAGATTGACTCGCGAGGAGCAGGCTGGGTTTCGTTCTGGTCGGGGATGTATTGATCATATCTTCACCCTCCGCCAAATGTTAGAACATCGCCATACTTATCAAAGGCCAACAATCGTAGTGTTTCTTGACATCAGGGCTGCCTTCGATTCGTTGGACAGGACTGTTCTCTGGGATTGTCTATTGAAGAAGAGTGTGCCTGAGAAGTTTATTAACATCCTAAAAGCCCTATATAAAAACACCTCAGGCAGAGTGAGGGCATACAACCACCTCTCTCCATTGTTCCATCGGAGCAGTGGGGTTAGGCAGGGTTGCCCAATCTCACTATTCCTCTTCAACTTTGCCATCGATGACATTCCGGAATCAGCTCTGATAGATGTAAGTAATGGTGGTGTGGATCTGTTGCCTGGAGAAAGACTTCTCGACCTTGCGTATGCGGACGATATTGTTTTACTGTGCGATAATGCCCAAGGCATGCAACCCTCACTTAATCAGTTGACAATCAGTGTCCGTAGGTATGGTATGTGCTTTGCACCTTCGAAGTGCAAAGTACTTCAGCAAGGCTGGCAGGATTCTAACCATGTATTCACCCTGGATGGTGAGCAGATAGACGTAGTCGAGAAGTTCGATTTGCATAAGTGCTAGTGGGTGTGTGAGTGATGAGATCAATGCACGTATAGTGAAAGCCAGAGCGGCTATGCCAATCTGGGCCACCTTTGGCGTCTTCGTGATGTTAGTCTGGCTGTAAAAGGTCGGATCTACAACGCGTCGGTGAGAGCAGATTTGCTTTATGCTTGTGAAACCTGGCCTCTCCGAGTTGAGGACGTTAGACGACTTTCAGTGTTCGATCATCGCTGTCTGCGAAGGATTGCTGACATCCAGTGGCAACACCATGTCAGTAATGCAGAGGTTCGGCATTGTGTGTTCAGGCACAGAGAAGATAATGCAACTGGTGTCACCATCTTGAAACACTGACTTCGATGGCTTGGACATGTTCAACGAACGTCGTCCAAGAGAATTCCACGTCGTGCATTATTTGCCGACTCTGGGACTGGTTGGAAGAAGCGGAGAGGTGGTCAGTATATGACATGCTGTCGTGGCATGAAAGAAAGCTGCAAAGGACTGGCTTGTGTTGGTCCTTCACGACTCCCTGGTTGGGGTCCGAGAGATGGTGCTACACAGTGGCTAGAGACGTTATCAGATATAACTCAGAATAGAAGCCATTGGCGATCCTGCTGTCATCTTCTTTTACTTTCTTCATAAAAAGTGGTTTTGTCTCCCTTACCTGAAAGATTTCTTCCGATTGTACCTTTGCGTTCCCTGATTACTAGCCCTTCACCTTACACCAATCTCTTCGTTATTGTTCTCTCCTTTTTTGCTCTCCTTAGCTTTTTTTCTTTTTTCCTTTCTATTCCTCTTTGAATTTTCATTGTTTTGTGTGACGCATATATATTGGCGCTCTCTTGTACCAAAATTCATGTGTCCAAATAAATAAATAAATAAAATGCAAGAAATGTGAGGCGGTAGATCGCTTACCACAGGACTCACGAACACCTATGACGAGCTGTGAATTAATAACCTGCCTACATCTATCATCTTGTATGAGCTTAATAGCACTGTCCAAAAGCTTTTGCTTGATGGATTCGTAAATCGTACTGTTCCACGTTTCCAGCATCAGCTAAAATATAACTGAATTTCATACTGCAAGCTACTTTTCTAATAGTACTTTCTTGAAGATGACGTTTGTTGGGATTGTTAAGATGCTTACCAACCAGGTAGTTTTCTAATGGACTAAATGGTTGTGGAAGATATTCGCTTTGTTTAAAAAATTTATTCCATTGAGCTATGTACGATTTTAACAATGAAGATTCATCTTGATTACGCATAACAAGCTAAAGTTGAAATCCTATAAACGAGAAGTTATTACCTGCTGAACTCTCATAATCGATTCTTTAACAGTTTCTGTAAGAGAAGAAATGATGGCGGTTGTTGCTGATTCTTGCCATGAGACGATATAATGTACATCTCTAAACAATAAACATGAGGTAAAATCCTTACGCAAACATATTTTGCCACTCGTCCCTACTGACATTCTCAGTATTGAGGATGCGCTTTACAATTTTATTCACCTTTGGCCATCTCTGTTCATAACAGTCCTTATGGCACTTTGAAACGTACATGTCATCAATTTAGCACTGAAGAACTGACATCAACAGATAGCATCCCAACTTTTTCGTACTACGAGCTGGAAAAATATCACATCAAAGACTAATTGATTAGATCAAACCTCAAATATCTCGGTGGAAGAAGCAACATTTGCAAAACTAAAACTTTTTTTCAAATCCTCAGATCGGTTCGGTGCAGCCCATTCTGAGAAACTCACTGGTTCAATGACACCTAGTTTCTGAAGTCGTTCTAGTTCTTGTTCAACCACTGGTAGAGCAGCATATGGTGCGGGTCTCCTAGGTCGAAAAACGGGAGTAGCTGCAGGCTTTAGAGTTAACAGTGCTTTGGCCTTCGTGCCTTCTCCCAATCCTTCTCTAAACACGTCTTGGTGTCTTTGTAACATAGCGTTTTTCTGGCTCCCCACTGGGGTGTTGTCTATACTTACTCGTCTGCAGATACTGTTGATAGAATGATCTGCTAGTTTAAGTGTTTCTATAAGATCCAACCCCATTAAGTCTAGTGCTGGCTTCTTAGTAAGATATACTGTTGCATTCGTTGTTACAGTGTCTTTAGAAACAGTGCATGGCACTTCCCCAACAATATTTAACTTACCCCCAAATGCACTGTGTGCCAGCTGAGTTGTTGGGAAAATTGTGGGTCTTCCAATGTTCTTCCATGTTTCAGGGCTGATTAAAGTAATATCAGAAGCTGTGTCAAGCTGAAAGCGGGTTCAGCGTTTATTAATATTCAAGGTCACATACTTTCTTTGGTGGCAACTTTGTGCTCTGTTATGTGATACCAATATCTTGTTGATTGGAGCACTATATCTGTATTTATTCGATTAAGGCTTCAAAGAATGTTGTTTATGGGTTCTTTTTTTGCAGCAGTTTTCTTTATGTCCCTTCCGATGACATTTGCTGCAACGATGTTCTTTATATGGGCAAAACCTCTTATAGTGCCAACCTCCACATGCCCAGCATGGAGATGATGGTTTGTCGCTGTTATTTTGATAATTATGGGTACTGGAACCTTGAAAGACTTTTCTCTTGACTGCATTGACGTTATGGAAAGAGTTACCGTTTTCTACCATTGAGGTATCATGCTTTAAGTTTACTAACCTTTGGCACTCAGCAGTCACTTCTTGCAGGGTCATGTTAGGGCAGTGTTTGAGTTTGCTTAGGATTCTGGTTCGGATATCAGCATCTTCGGATGAACGCAGGCTGCAGATAAATACTGAGCATTTAAACTGATCTTCCGACATGGACGACAATCTGACCCTCTCACATTCTCGGTTCACAGTTCCTGCATGCTTCACCCAGTCATCGCCTGGTTCTTTCGTTAACTTTAAGCACTGGTAACGGATATTAAATAGCGATGATTGTTCTCCGAAGATTTGGGACAGGGTTTTGACTGTATCATCAAAACTAAAATCTCGTGGATTCTTCGGAAGAATGAAATTGCTATAGCGTTCATGTTCCATAGTCCCAAGTTTTCTTACAAGTATTCTCACTTTTAAAGCATCATCCAGTTTGCAAAGATCAATATAAACAAATCTTTATACTTCTTAAACCAGGACTCGAAAGTTACACCTGCTAAACCATCAAAATTAAATTCATGGATGGCGTTAATGACTGAATCAATATCTGATACTTGAGATTCACTAGAAACAGGATTTTGCTGGGACAGGCAGAATTTCTGCATCAGGGTTTCCATGATTCTAATTTGGGACTCTTCAAACCTTTTTTCTTGACGCTCCATATAGGCTTCTAATTGCTTCAAGGAAATATTCATTGTAGTTTTCATCTCCATCGCCACTGATACATCTTGTCTATTGAACGCTATACTTGTTCCTAAGCTATTCCGGTAACCCGCAGTCTAGAACTACACAGCGACTTGAACACCAGAGAGAAGACACAAGTATAAGAGAAAATACTTTATCCCAAGGTTCATTTTTGTACAAAAAATCATGGGTATTTATAGATTTTGGCGTCTGTTAAATCAACATCATTTTAAAGCCAATCCGATATCAGCATATTATGCTACCGACCAATAGTAGCACGCCACGTTGGAGTTCTAGAACGCTCCATCACACTCTGATTGGCTAGGACTCTTCGGCTCCTTGTGGGCCTCTGGGGGCTCCGTTGAAGTTCTCCGGAAGCCGACCCAACAGATAGCTTTCCTGTAAATAAACTATGAATCGCCTAAAAATATGTGATATTTCAGCAGAATTCATAATGGTTCAGATGGTTTTGAACGGAAAAGAAGAAGCTTTCACCTAACGGGCTTCTATGTCTAATAGCCGTGGATCACCAATACCACCAGGCAGGAACCTATGTATATTAACGACAAAAGAAAAAGAAATTGATAGATCGTAATAAGATATTATCCTTAGTCCTTAAGAAGATGTCAAGTTTTCTCTTAAGGGACTCCTGGTAAGTCGCTTGAACTAACTCAGCTGGAAATAAATTTCAGTATTTGACTACCCTAAAGGAGTATAAAAGGCGCATACTGTCCGTTCTTCAATGTTGTGACTTCAGTTTATAAGTGTTACTTCTAAGGTTTGTGTTGGGACGAATCTGAAGTAGGTGATTAAGGAGATGTACATAATTTTCAGTATATTACAAGTCATTAGAATGTCACCTATAACAATTCCATACTCTGGTGGGTTAGGGTTCAATGATTGGAGGCGCTTTTAATAAGGCTTGAATTTGAGTCCCCAAACTGATTTCGTGACTCGTCGCTAAATGAAGACTAATGAAACCGTTGAAAATCATGTCGAAAGTTCTTTCGTCAAACTGACCAAAAATGTTTGCTCTAAAGGCATTTTTGTCACAGTTAGCGTAAAACTTCAAATCGTAGGGTACCAGCATTACTAAATCTTTTTCAACTTGAAACACTTCAAGACGAGAGTCGCTTAATTTGCAGCTGTAGTCTGCAGCATGTCTCAGATGTACACTTTTAAGTGTTAAAGTTAAGCCTCTTGTCATACGCCCAAACTTGAAGTCGAGTCGAATCCTCCTGAAGTGTCAGTATATCCTCCTGTTTTCACATCTCTCCCCAACGTTTCACATGTTCAGTAAAATGTAATAAGTATGACGGTAACTGTTGTGGAAGATTTGTTTTTATAAATCAAGAAAAGTAGGGGATCTGGTACTGAACCCTGAGGGACCCGACTAGAATATTCCATAATTTGGTGTGTGAATTTCGTATGATGTTGACGACTTTCTCAACTACTCAAACCATAGTGTCGAAGAAGTTTCCATAATGTTCTCCCATACACACTGTCAAACACCTTCTCATAGTCAAGGAAGTTGATGTATAGTGACGAGTCCCATTCGATCGATTGTTCAACAATGATCCATAGTGTCGCGATCCAGTCTGTGCATGATCGATCCTTAAGGAATCCAGCTTGTTGATCTTGAAGTTGGGCGTCTACTGAGTCTCCCATCCGGTTCAGCAACACTCTGTTGAAAACACTTCCTGGTACTGACAGTGGTATGATGCCTATGTAGTTCTCACACTTGCTCAGATCTCCTTTCTTTGGCATATTGATGAGGTGTCCTTCATTACAGTTCGTCAGTGGCACTTGTTCCTCCTCTCAAATATTCTTCAATAGAACGTGGAGCGTCTTTGTAGCTACTTACATATTTGACTTCAGTGCTTCAGCTGGTATGTTTTCAGGTTATGCTGCTTTCTCACTCTTGATTTGTCTGATGGCCAGCCCAATTTCTTCGATTGTTGGTGGAGTGACATCTATAGGAAGGTCTGTAGGTGCTGCTTCGATGTGAGGCGGATTCAACGGAGCTGGCTAATTCAAGTGTTCCTCGAAGTATTCCACCCATCTGTTCCTCTGATCTTGCATCTCGTTGACTAGCTTGCCTTCTTCGCCCTTAAACGGTCTCTCTGGTTTTCTACATTTCCCTGACAGTTTCTTCGTCGTGCCATATAGTTGTTTCATATTTCCTTCTCTTGCAGCTTTTTCCGCTGTCATTGCTAGGTCTTCCACGTATTTTGCCTGTCAGCTCGAATGCTCATCTGCACCTGCTTGTTTGCTTCTGTGTATTCAGATTAAGCCTCGACTACTTCTGTTCTTGTTCAGCTGTTGTTAATTACTGTCTTCAAGTTTTTCGTTTCTTGGATCTTGTCCAGGATTTCCATAGAGATCGATTCCTTATAATGATGCCTCTTGCGGACCAGAAACTCCGGACACGTTGAAGTCAGTGCTTATTTGATCGCTTTCCATTTGTCCTTTATAGTAGTTTCTTCTTCCAGTAGGTCCGGTGAGGCTTGGAATTCGTTGTTGAGAAATATATTGGATTCGTTGAGTGTGTCAGTATCTCGAACTTTTCTGATGATTGTTTTTCAGGAAGGCTGTGCTCTATGGGTTGGAGTTTATGACACTTTACCCAAACCTTCTCTTTCATGAATGGCTCGAACTATCAATAACCCTTCAAGTACTCCAGGCGGATAACGGAAATGAAACAAATAAACGATTATTATACATGGATCCAATTTCTTTGATAATTGAAGCAGCTTAATTAACTGATTCTATGAGTATTGGGAACATTTTAAACAGTGATTGTTCATATATTAATAAGAAGCATGCATATAGTTACATATTTTTCCGGAATCTATATTCTAGTCACAAATTTTGAGTCTATACACAATGCTTCTCTCAATCAGAGTCACGAGTCAATATACAAAATTTTAAGAGGCTTGAAGATGTTCAATGATATTTAAATCCCAGGCTGTTGAGAAAAACTTCGACATCCTAATTAAACAACGCGTTTGAGTGTTTGGACCAAAATATGTAGATTCATTTGATAAGATATGAGTATGCTGAACTCTGTTACTTGTTTGACTACATAGTCTGTGTCCAATATTGTACCTCACTGAAAATGTGAAGCTGAAATGTTCTGTGATCGAGAATGAACCCCACTAAATACATATCAGCCAGACACGTTTTGTTAATGGAAATAGATTTTTTCTTTTAATTTTTGCACCTCTGTCCATTTTTTTACTCAGACAAGCAATGAACCACTTGGTATGATGACGGTTATCTGGGTCTTAAGGTGGGACTTAAGAGTCGTGTCGACTGATTTGCAATGGCATTTCACTCTTCATCTGTCTCAAGATAGGTTTTCCTTTCTTACCATTCGTATTCAGATATCCAACCCATGTCGCCTCTGCGGTGGAACTTTATTGGCCGCCTGTACTTGAATCGCTAGTGCGGCTTTTGTCAGCTTACTGACTTGCACCAGAAAGCCAATTTCCTACTGGACCAGTAATGTATTATTCAAGCAGAAAAATATACAGAGCCAATAGTAGTTAGACTCCAAACATCTTATGGAAACATTTTCTACGTCAATCACACTGTATTCTTTACTTAACAAAGAAAAAACAATTAGTTAGTCAATATTTATGAGCTCAGTCAACCGTCAGGCGATGTCCACAAAATTTACTCTATGTAAAAATACCCTTAGACAACAAAATTGTTAATCTGTCTGATCACAATGGAGAAACGACGAAATTCAGAAGATCCTAGCGGTTCCGTACAACACCCTAAACACTTCTGGACATTCCCTTGGATGCCTTCCTAAGCTTTGTCCCAGAAACTAGAAACACAACAGCAGAAAGTACTGTAGACACAACTTCTACCTACTAAGGGTAGTCAAATGCTGGAATTCACTGCCGTTGAGCTATTGCAAGCGAGATCCTAAGAGTTCTTTTTGGAGAAACCTTGATATATTCTTTAGCGCTAAGGACATTATTTACTAGTTCTTTTTCTTACTCCTCTTTTATCGTTAATATACAGTGGTTCCTACTTGGGGACATCGGTGATCCACCACTACTAGATACGGAAGTCCGTTAAGCGGAAGCTTCTTTTATCCTCTGCAGAAACATGTGAACCATTCACACGCTCAGGCAGACCGCCCTTTGGGGCTATAAACGCACTGAAGCGGTTCGTGCCTAGCTAGAGGGTACGTCGTGCATTTGGGGAGCATGCAGAATAGAGTGAGTTAGGAGGGCTGGAAAAGAGTAAAATGGGCGAAAATTTGGGTCGATGACAAAGAAATCACATACGATACAAGAAGCGACTAGGTACCACCTGAACTTCGAACCATCCTTACCAGATCATATATTAAACCACTATGATGATGACGTCACGAATCCAGATTACATGCAACCCCTAGGTAAATTTGGTCATGCAGTTCTAACCCTTGACTTCCATATAATCATCAAAAGCTAGCACGCGTCAGCTTAATCCAAACCTAACGTCTGGAAAGCAAATGTACGAGATATTTTACACTCGGTAGGTTAGACAGCTGAGCCAGAGTCCCCAATTGAATCAGCTTGAGATGTTTTCCGAAACTTATACGTAAAAGTAACTTTACAGCACATCACTTGGACTACACCAAGTGGACCGAAAATCTTTCCACCATAGTTCAGTAGTGAGGTTCGCATCCTTCTCCGAAACAGAAGAAAAATGTGGGATAGATTTAAATTACTGGAGATTGAAGAGATAAGATCTCAGTATCAAGAACATCAGAATACCTGAATGTCGACCCTCCGTAAGTTTAGAAGGTTGTACGAAGAGAAACGTGTCAAGGAATCCATAGAATATCGTATATGAATCAAAGCACAAAAAGAACAGGAAATATTACAGTACTATGGGGAGACAGTACTGCTTCATCTTTAGTAGAGGATGACTTTGGTAAAGCTCAAGTATACTCAAACTATTTTAGCAACGTATATAACGTAGAAACGCCCTTCCGGTCAGTGCATACACATCCCCTCACACACAGTGGACATCGTGACCATTAAAGTACTCGATGTCTTTGGTCTGCTAAATAAGCCTGACATAAACAAATCCGCGGGACCCGACGAACTGGATCCTATGTTTCTAAAGGAACTAGCTAATTTTGTTGAGAACCGTTTAAATATATGCTTTAATCTATCCGTGCCCCAGGCTCGTTTACCAAATGACTAGAAGAACTCCATAGTAATTCCTGTATTCAAAACAGGTACGAAACATAAACGTGAGACTTACCGACCCCTTGGCTTAACTAGCATGGTTTTTGAAATTTTAGAAAAGATTATTTGGGAGGAGCGGTTTAATTATATCGATTAAAACCGGATCTTTTCGGAGAAACAGTATGGTTTTAAAATAGGTTATTCTTGTCTCACAAACTTATTAGTGACTTTTTGTGTGGCGTCGAGTTGCGGTTGATTATGATCACGACTACAGGAAGACTAAGTTCCAGTTAATTGATATGACCCCCGGTTGGCCAAATATTAGAAGGCAGTTGATGGCTGTAGTCGAGATGTAATTGTTGGCGATCGCGTGGTATGAAAAGAATACCGAGATTGTGCCAGGTTGCAAGTGAGGTTATTGAGCATAACCGAATGCGTGCAATGTCACAGTCAACGGAAGAATGTGTGTAGTTTGTTACAGTTAAACAAACAAATACGGTAAAACAATCCCTGGTACAATTGGTTATAATAATAATTGTTTCCATTACACCAAACTCGTTCACTTGATAAAAGCAGGTCAATATAGACTCATGAAAGTTGGTGCGCTCTGAAAGACCAAAAGTGACCTATAGACGTAACGTATATTGACTTCGGCAAAGGTTTGACAAATTTCTCACAACTGGATGTTATATAAGTTAAGGAATGTCGGAGTTGGAGACAGTCTATTGATATGGATAAAAGATCTCCTAATTGTGCACAAACGGAGAGTACGGGTTAACTCCAAGTCATCTAGCTGGGAAACTGTGCTTGGAGAAGTGCATCAGGGCACAGCTTTGGGGCCAGAGTTATGCCTCTCATATGTAAATGACCCTCCTCGTCTCCTATCATCATCGGTCTTGCTATATGCTGACGATGTCAAGATATGGAGAGCGATAGGAAATAAGATTGCTAGTTTAGAGCTTGAAAATGACCTGAAGAAGTTATCTGAGTGGTCTTAAACTTGGCATTCGCTGATAAACACTTCCAGGTGTATTGTGATGGATATTGATCATCAGGGTACAGATACACATGTTGTCCAGTCACACAATGGCTTGGGGGTCATCGTTAGCCAAGACTTATAGACTACTGCACACTGCCGTGCAATAGCTGCCAAAGGTTTAAGAACCCTGTGGTCAGTATTTGAGACCTTTAGCCATGTCAACGCTTAAACGTTTTTTTGACTCTGTCTAGTCTTCATGAGTCATAAACTTGAGTACTGTAAACAAGCGCCTAGCCCCTGCTTAAAATTTCGAGGTGACTTGATTACAGTTTTTCAAGTTATTTGGTGATAAATTTGCACATGGTATGCACTCGTTTTTCTTGTTTTACAAAATAGAGAATTTACGAGGACACCGAAATATTTCATGAGATCAGAACAAATTACTTGTCAGCTGATTGTCAACTTTCCCGTCGGATAAACAACGAGTGAAATTCATTACTTCAGCACGTGGTTGGGGCTCCATCCATCGACACTTCCAAAAGGAAGTTGTATCAACTGAGAGACCATCATTGCCAGGACTGATGTAGGCCATCGAGCCTCTTGTTCTCTCCGAACCGAAACTGGTTTCAAAAACTCGCGCTAAAGTACAACCAAGGTAATGTGACATAATAATCCTCAGTAAACGAGATCAATGTCGCCTAATTTTGATATCAGGGATTCAACGGTTTGCTATAAGTACATTGTTCTCGCTATTTATGGCCTGGCGCCGTCTAAGCTTGTGGGATACAATTCAAGATGGAGGGACGTCCAATTTCGGATCTTAAGGTTGCCGAGCTTCGCAAGGAGTTGGAGAAGCGCAACCAAGATAAAACCGGTGTTAAACAGGTTTTGCTGGACCGTCTCAAAGAGGTTTATTCGTCTAAGCAACCTAGATTTTTAGACTTTAGAAAAGGATGGTCACGATCCTCAAACCTATCGTTTCAGAGATGATGATAGTGTTAAAACTGACCTAGAGATATCGGATCATTCGGTATGTGATCACTTTATTCAAACTTATTCTTTTATAGCCCGCAAATGGTGATTTACTAGGAGCTGGTAAGTAGTTTCCGTTCATATTCGTTTGTATGCCCATTAAAAACCATTTTGTTTCACTTTCATTTCAAAGTAATGGGTTAGGAGTAGGATGCTTTTAGTTGCTTAATCCAGCCGACAATTCTTGGATGTGTTGGACTGACAATTTACACGTAAATGGAACCTGCTATAAAACGTTTGACTCGTCATTGTAAGTCACTATGTGCAATGCAAGTACAGCTGTAGCGAACACTTAGTTTCGACGCTCATGGACTCGAGCCGCTGCCTGATCAATTAAGCGGATTGTCAGCCTGTAATCTTCATTCCATGCGCGTTCAACAAATCTGTCATACAACCTGAAAAAGCCGCACCTTGTGTGCGAAGTCGTAAACTTTGGATCATCTTTACTCTTAGCGAGTTGGTCTACCCTCTATTCAATTGTAAACGGAAACCTGAAGCCGTATTTGATCTAAGTATCCAGGATTCTTGTTAACAAACCTGTCAAATAATAAACAACAATGGAGAACTATATTTTATGATGTTATGGTAGGATGTGTTGCGAATAAATGGTTTCTTGTTTGCTCTGTACCGTTACCACCCAGAAAATCCAATATTGTTCGCATTCATCACCGCTGTTGTGCAGTTACTTTGGATTGTGCGAGCTGTAATAGGTCGGCATGTATGTTATTTCTCCGACTTACATTACACTTTGGGGTTAACGACTATGATTGTACATTAGTATGCTCATAGTCAAGTCACGGTAGATTATAATGCCCCCTGTCTTTTGTCTGGTGACAACTACTGATTCTCCAATAAGTAAAAGCACCGACCTTATGCTAATCAAACTAATGGTAATAACTTTCTACTCTTATTCTATTGAAAGAGAAAGTTGGATCCATCACGAAAAGACGTAGTCCGTCAGATGACGTATTGAGTGATGAATATATTATCAGTGAACATTCATTGCAGAAAAAGATTACAGAGGAAACTGTCACATACGTTGTTCAAGTTGGTGAGCAAGAGGAAGATTTAGATTATGATTTGAAATATGGGAACAATGACGTATCCGAAGTCGCAGGCGCTTGGAAAGACACCCAAGTCAAAGATGAAGAACTTGACAAACATAGACCAGAAAGGTTCGTAAATGTCTGTCGAATGATATGATTATATTTATCCTCTTCTGACACAAGCTGTTTCTTTTTTTAGTTCAGTTACTACCCACCAGATTAATGGTATGTTCCATTTGGTTAAGTTACACTTTACGTGCCAGAAAGCTGTAGAAATTTGTGGATAAGTAACTTACCGAAATTGGTGAAGGCTGCAGATTTAAAGCAACATTTTAGCAAGGCGGGGAAGGTATGTTTTTTGCCAATCAGGATAGTTTTTCAGGTAGTATCAGCTACTGTGGTTATGAGCATCCGCACACCTGGTGGTTGCTTTGGATTTATACAGATGGCTTCTGCTGAAGAGGCAGCATCTGCTGCTAGAGCCTATGATTTAACAGAGTTTGGAGGATGTATACTGCGGGTTGAAGCTACAGAGCGAAAAGCACCAGTTCAATTAAACAAAGCAAATGATCCAGTAGCTGGATTGAACAAATTAAAAACTAGTATGCCTGATTCTCGACGGATGGTATCCAGACCGTTAGTATCTCGAAGACGTTATATTGGTATGTCAACATACTTTTGTCATTGTTCATATAATTAGCCAACAGACAGCGATTGTTGCGTTGTGCTGCCATTAGAACTGCTATTTTGAGGGAACAGCGGAAAAGGTCCGAATATTTATCCGCCAATAATCGTCCACATTCCGTTAAGAAAACTCCTATCAGAAGACCTTTATACCAGTTTACTGGACCAAATTATACAATGTCAAAGGATAGTTTGGTGAGTATGCTACAAAATAATACTATTTTTGGAGCAATCAGTCTCATAGTTGCACTTTGAACTCATACTGAGCAGTATGTTATGATATCTAATCACGGTTTGCTAATCATAAGGATGTCACGTGGTTTCGGGAAGTTGGTTTTCGTGTGAATTTACGATTAGATTTTCATTGGAGACGGGAGCTCTTCGAAGCCTTAACACAGGCGTTTTAATGGATAGTTCACATGTCCCTGCGAAGAACGAAACCTTGTTGCAGAGGTAAAGTACTTTAACCAATTTAGTTCTAATGTGGTCATATGTAAGTATCAGAGTTATCATATTTGGAAAATGGCATATAATAATCCCCAAATTTACAAAAGACCAACTGCACATTTATCAAAGTACAGCAAGAATTTTGAGTTATTATTCGACCCTATATGTTGGAGAGAAATTCAACAATTTAAATCAATTCCCCGGGAAAGCATTGAAAGCAACTGTGCGAAGTTTCTAATGTGTATTTCATGAACAAATCCCAAGAATCTGAATTAAATGAATTCTGTTTGGTTTTTAATTTCAAGAAGTGCTGAAGTATTCGTCGGATTTGATTAGTTCCAATTACTTATCTCATTGTTTATGAATGTGTTTTGATCTATACGTTTTTATAGCGTTCACGAGGCGGTCTGGCCCTTGTATCTAAACATAAAAGTATTTCACAGCGACAAATCTCTTCACGGATCAAGTAAGTGAATAACTGATCTTGGTGTTTTTTGGTACTTATTTTAGTAACCTGACATGCACAATTTATTAGCCAAAATGAAAATTTTTGTATTTGGTTCATCTTATGAACCTAACATTTTGTCCTCACAGTTAGACTCATATTCCAAACAATCGTTTTCCAAATGTTTAGATTCTGTTTAAATGAACCGTTTACTACTCAAATACTCGTGGTTTGGGATCGACTCCGTTGCTAGTCCAATAATTACGGGATTTAACTACTGCTACTTTGTGTATCTTGTCATAGTTTTATTTTCGGTATAGGGATTTTCCCACATATCCTGTGTTGTGGATGCGGAAGGATAGACCAATAATTATCATGTTAAGTCCGATAGTGTCCTTGGACTTTAAATGGACATTTCCTACTGGTCAATACCTGTCCACTTGTTGAATATTGTACAAAATGTTGTTTTCTGTTTTTATGGTACGATGTGGTATGTTTGGTTAGTATATAAATAGAGTATTTCTGAAATACAATGATTCATAACTCAGAGGCTGAGATTTGTGTTCTGGACTCAACTGGCTGGGATAGACAGGGAATCGGGACCAATCGTAACTCTAGGTCGTCCATTGCGTCCGTACGTATATACGTGTCATTGTAACCGATCAATAAAACGCTGCTTAATAAAACCTGCAGTCACCCGTCACAACATCCTGGTACCAAGTTTTCAGATGTTTTAAATTATTTGAATTCAGTGTTGCACCATACTAAGGGCTTATTTTTAGGAACACAAACATACTGTTCATACTATTAGGTTGTTGGCAAAACTAGTTTCCAAATTGAAACGGTGTATAACCCTTAACATTAATCGATACGTTACTCCATCACTAAGTTTATATTTATGCCCGTTGTTAGAATAGTACTTTGGTAATTGTTGACCCATATACCTACTCAAAACTACTCGACTAGCAGAGTCACGAAATATACTTGATATAAAGCAGAAATAATTATAACTTTGACCCTAAAAGAACTAAGGATTCGAAATTTCGCCAGTAAATTTTGACCAAACCCGACCTCTCCTCTGTTTTCCTTAATTCACCGAATGAATGTTTCGATTCTTTCATATCACTTACAGATGTCACAAAAAAGTGTGAGAATTTGTGATGAAACATGTAAGCTACTCTACCCACATAACTTAAAAATAATAGCAAACCAACTTTTTTCTTAGTGATTAATGAAATCAACATAGATATGTACTGTTAATCCACAAGTTAAGGGGTGGGACCGTTGACACCTCAACTCTCCATATTACAATGGTTATTTCTGCTTTCGAACCCGTGATGTAAACTCGTTTCCTAGTTATTACCTTATAAAGTAGGGTTGTGACTGTAAGGCTTCAGGGAATACTGTTTAGTGCCATTTGCACTGTTGTATAAAGCAATTGTCACTATTATTTTGACAAGTTGAAATCATGAGTCAATTGAAACTAGACCACCATGGAAAACCTGGAAGCACTGGACGGCCGTTTCGTCCTGGTATGGGACTCCTCGTGGATGCGCACTATTATTTTCGTTTATAGTTCTTGACATGGTGCTTCACATTTTAGATCTCCCGTGGAGTCATATCAAAATCTTGCAACCGGCCCCAAAAATCTGTGTAACAAGAGGAGGGTATTCTAATTTTAATGCTTATCTTTCCCATAATAGTCTGCATAATGGCACCATTAAGGATGGTGGTTGTCCTTGTAAAACGTCACAACCACCATTCCCTAGTATATGCAATATTACGTTTTCTCACTCGGACCTAAAAATAGCAGCATTTTGTCTTACTACTCTACAACTAACCTAGTGGAAAATCAATGAACAAACGTTCCAGTTATTATAGTTTATCTACGCCATTACGTTAACGGCTACGGTTGGGTCTCAATGGTGAACAGTCTTTGGGTAACCTAAGCGTGTCTAAACGTTTTTTTCTACTTTTTGTTTAGTTATCCGAAGAAATGCCAGTTTGGTTCTTGTCATAAACAGTTTCAAACTTATTGATATACGTGGCATCATATTTATTCTCACACAACCTGTTACAGCAGTGGGATTTTGATTTGTTTTGTATTTGATATAGAACGATTAAATACGTCTAGTTATTCTTAAGAGTAACACAACTGCATATTTCTGTTTGTTCAGTAACCGCGCAGTTCTAGAACTTTAGCTCTTCTTTAAATAACATCTCCAAACCCTAATCTTCCTGATCACTGCTTACACTCTTGCTACTTCTACCACTACGGGATTCGGATCGACAACTGCATCTCTGTGTTAAGGTGGTGTGGCAACTCGAACTGATGTACGTACGTACGTACGAAGTTCTACGTTGTTACTGACTGACTGACTTAGCTCTTCTTGAACATTTTAGCACCAATCATGGAACGCAGTCGCTGTTACAAAGAAGATTAAATTATGCTGTCAATCGAAGGCTGCGTGAGCCAATTCGTATTCACAAAAGTGCCAGTGTTTCACGTCGATCGTCCAAATCATTTTTGCCTAGAGTACACAGAAATTCAAATATATGTCCAGAAAACCATCGAAGCTATCTTTCTCCACCTTCCCGTCTAATCCCCTTGGATACGCTTACTTCAAAACGGAGCCCAACCTTTCGCAGTAATCGTCCTGTAGAAAGAGATATACGCGAACCCTATCGCCCTGTTTTGCCAGAACGAAAGTATCATCCTCAGTCACCTGGTCGATCACATGAATCAAGTCGGTATTCACGAAACACTCAATCATCAGTCTATACAGGAAGAAATACTGCTAAATCAGTATACGATAGTCGTTCTCGTCAAAGTCATTTGATGACTCGTTCTGAACCGCGGTAAGCCATGGCTTTATATCTGTTCCACGACATTCATTGTCACTTCTAATGTTTATTTGTAACACTTCTTAAAACCCATCGAAGATCCAGAAGTATATTGTTTATCTGAGTGAAATATGTCAGTTATTTTTATAAAACTTGGATTCTCATGTAGGAGTTACATTCGTCCTCATAGTTTAAGGCTTCACATCGGTTACATGTGATATACACACTTAAGATAAATAGGTCTACAGTATTGTTGTGATTTTTCTATTGGTGTAATTGAAAATTTTCGCACTGAATCAGATTATTTGATTAGTTTTATTTACGATTGTTATGAAATGTTAGCCAGGTTTTACTTTTGTTCTATGTTGAGTATTCAGCTGAAAAAGCATTTTGATTTCATGTTTAACAATGTCTGTTGTAGACAGATCAATATACATTTAGTGTCAATACGATAATTTAGTACTATACCAAGTACATCTACTCAGATTGGTTTCAGTTAAGGACTTTTAAAATGTACTTATTAAATTACACGGTTTTCAATAAAGATATTTCGTCTTTTAAAGTCGTTTGTGATGTTAAGTTAATAAGTATTTTTGGTCTTACTTTTTCAGCTAGTTACATTCATTGTTAATTTGACATCCGGCAAAAATTGCTAGAGCTCAGGTCATCTGTAATGTTTGTGGAATTAGTTATTGTGAAGGTGGCTTAAGATTTTATTATTCCCGGGAGTTAATTTTCTGAATACAGTGGTGTTATACGAGATGAAATCAATATCATTTTAGTAGAAATGGAAAGAATATATATAACTTGTTTTCTGAATTTCCCACCTGACACTCCATAATTCATGTTTGTATAGTTAGTTCTCATATAACCGTCATCATCATTAGCTTTTGGTGCCGTCCAATAAGACTGTAAGGACAAAACGGCCATCTAGTGCTTTCAAGTTTCCAATGGTGGTCTAACACTGGTCGGTTCATGATCTCAATAAAAACTCAACAATCTCCATAATCCATTACTCATAACTATAAGCAGTCGTTTGTTAACTAGTTAGCTTATCTTCTCCGTTATATTTCTTAACCCCTAGTAAAATCGTTGTGACCCATACATTGGGACGACTTATTACCCTTCTTTAGGCAAACTTGCTGCGCAACCGTCCATTCTGTATCACTACACAGCTGTGAAACGTAACCTATAAAAGAATACTTGATTAGACTACAAGTATTTAAGAGTAGTTATTTCCGAAGAATTTATCGTGCATGATGAGACCAAAGATGATTAATTCTGAGATTAAAAGTGGTGTATTGAGCGATTGTGACAACTCACTTGATGAGGCTGTGGATCTTTAAATAAGATGGCTTGGATATGTGTTGTGTATGCCCAAACACCACCTACCTCGTCGCGCAATGCTGACGCGAATAGGAGTTGGTTGAAAACTAGGAAGTGCCAAGTTAATTTATCTGACCAATACACTACGTCATTGACTGTTAAACTGGGCAGTTTGTGTGTTGATTATCTGGTTTGGGTTCAGTTGGTGATTGACTCGAATATATTGCATTCACTCTATTTCCCACTTGATCTTAGATTTCCATTTTTCCTTTTCGAACCATATTTTCCAATGCTGAGTCTTTCTCACTGACGATGATACAACCACTATTTTGACTGCCTTAACATTCGCCTTGTTGATTTCATCTCCCCGTGCTGATATCGTGTAGAAACTTAGTCCGTCCGGAATTTGTACCAGGTTTTACATTGATTATGACCGAACTATATTTTAACATTGTTATTTATATAGAGCGGGTGGTCTAGTGGCTCTGGCGTTCAATTGTCAGCCAATAAGTTCTAGGTTAGAACTCCGTTCCATGCAGTTTAGTTTGGGTAACCGAGTAAATATCATTAGCTCTCGCATTTAGAATGGTTCATACCCAAATACCTGGTTAATGAGTTAATTTAACTTAGTTTTTGTTATTATTTATTTCACGTTCACTACACTATCATTTAAGTGATTTATTGGGCAATAAACTATATCCGTTAATTTACAATGAGTTTTCATTTGTTTGTGTATATAGGATTTACTAAAATTAGATAATTATATGAGTTTATTTCTATATTTGTATGTATATGCACGAACATAAGCTTGATGTTAGTGATATGCAATTTACTTATTACCAATTCCTATATTTAGCTGTACGAATTACAGCAATTTAGATAGTCGAAAAATGGCCGTAGCCTCTCGTACAGATATGTATTCTGAAGAACGTTATCGAACTCACGATAGTCATCTATCTGAAGTACGCAAAAATCAATTAAGGTCAAACCCCCCTACTTCACGAATGAGAGTTGAGGAGAGTAAACGAGAGTACCGTGCAGTTAGTAGAAGCCCACCAAGGTCAAGAGATTCTACAATGATGCGCCCGTACCCAGTTTCTTTCAATTTCAATCGCCATCGCACGGAAACAAGTAATCGTGGCCGCATTCCACTGATGTTACAGTCTACACCACACAGGCCTGAAATCGTGGAGTATGAACACCGTTCAGGTACGTAATCGTCAAGTTAATATGAGGGGCCCCAGCCGATTCATCCGTAATTCTTTTGTTAGTTATCTGTCTCTATTCTATTGGTAATCGTAGTGTAAGGTAATATATCTAGCACTTGGATTAACTGACTACCTTATCTTTTTATTACCAAGATATCTGAGTTTTTATAGTCGTTTCTCGATAAAGACTACGTGCATCACCTTCGTTAGGAACTCACGTTTCGCAAACCCAGTTAGAAATCGATTGTTCGTTTGCTAATTTCAAGTCGTAGTTACTTCAATATCTACAGATTTTACTTAGTCTTTTTGAACGCTACTAAGTACAAACTAGAAATATTCTTTTCACTTATGATTTCAGAATTTAATTAGTGATTTTATTCACTTTGATTAGGTTTTCATTAGTATTGTGTATTAATCAGTAATATATTTGTAATATCATAATCTGTAGAAGTCTCAATTCCTGGCGTTTTACAATTTATCGGGAGTCGCTTTTTCAGGTAATAAATACCTGTGAACCACACAAACGAATAGTGAATAAAAATAAATAATAGAATGAAAATACAATAAAAATTAGAGGAGTAATGAGATACCATTCAGCTTATAATCCAACCATAATCGAATAATTATAGGTCCTCTCATTACAGGAAGATCACCAGTGGTTTCTTTTTCTTCCCATATTTCGTAGTCTCAAGCTTCTAGGTTTCGCTATTTCTAGATGTTTTTCAAGTGGCATATATGTCATATCATATTGATGGCCTTTTTATTTTGATTGTTCAGTCACCTGTGTTTATTATTGAATATTATCTTTCGATACGGATAAAGTTGTAAGAAACTGATAAAAACTCAAAATAAAATAAACTCATATTTTTTTGCTTTGATTGCTGTTCTTGCTTTATCCAAATTTCTGAGAAAAAATAATATCAAATTTCAAGACTTTGGAAATTATAAAAACGTGTACATACTTACTTACGCCTGTTACTCCCAATGGAGCATAGGCCGCCGACCAGCATTCTCCAACCCACTCTGTCCTGGGCCTCCTTTTCTAATTCCATCCAATTCTTGTTCATCTTTTTCATGTCTATTTCCATTTCTCGGCGTAATGTGATCTTTGGTCTTCCTCTCCTCCTTTAGCCTTGAGGATTCCATGTGAGGGCTTGTCTTGTAACGCAGTTGGGTGCTTTCCTCAATGTGTGTCCTATCCACTTTCAGCGCTTCTTCCTGATTTCTTCTTCCACTGGGATCTGGTTTGTTCTCTCCCACAGTACGTTGTTGCTAATACTGTCCGGCCAACGAATCGGAAGTATTTTGCGTAGACAACTGTTAATAAACACCTGTATCTTCTGGATGATGGCTTTCGTAGTTCTCCAGGTTTCCGCCCCATACAGTAGAACTGTCTTGACATTTGTATTGAAAATTCTGACCTTGGTGTTGGTTGACAGTTGCTTTGAGTTCCAGATGTTCCTCAGTTGTAAATATGCTGCTCTTGCTTTGCCGATCCGCGCCTTCACATTTGCATCAGATCCACCCTGTTCATCAATGATGCTGCCCAAATATGTAAAGGTTTTTACATCTTCCACTAACACTCCATAATCCATGTTTGTATAGTTAGTTCTCATATGACCGTCATCATCATTAGCTTTTGGTGCCGTTCGATAAGACTGTAAGGACGAAACGGCCATCTAGTGCTTTCAAGTTTTCAATGGTGGTCTAACATTTGTTGGTTCATGATCTCAATAAAAACAATCTCCACAACCCATTACTCATAACTATAAGCAGTCGTTTGTTAACTAGTTAGTTTATCTTCGTTATATTTCCTAACCCCTAGTAAAATCGTTGACTCATACATTGGGGTGACTTATTACCCTTATTTAGGCAAACTTACTGCGCAACCATCCATTCTGTGTCACTGCACAGCTGTGAAACGTAACCTACAAAAGAATACTTGAGTATGATATGACTATCTTCTGAGGCACGCCGTAGTGTCGAAGTAGCTTCCAGAGTGTTGTCATGTCCACACTGTCAAATGCTTTTTCGTAGTCAATGAAGTTGATGTAGAGTGATGAATTCCATTCAATTGATTGTTCCACAATGATCCGTAGAGTTGCGATTTGGTCTGTACACGATCTATCCTTACGGAATCCTGCCTGTTGGTCACGAAGTTGGGCGTCTACGCAGTCCTTCATCCTGTTTAACAATACCCTGTTGAAGACTTTTCCCGGTATTGAAAGAAGAGTGATGCCCCTGTAGTTATCACAGTTGCTGAGATCGCCTTTCTTCGGTATTTTGATCAGAAGTCCTTCTTTCCAGTCTTTTGTCTTTCTCACTAGCAATGATACAACCACAATGTGGAGTATCCTTGCAGTTGCCGCTACGTCTGCTTTTAGTGCCTCTGCTGGAATGTTGTCTGGTCCTGCTGCTTTGCCACTCTTGATTTGTCTGATGGCCATGCTGATTTCTTCAATTGTTGTTGGGCCAACGTTGATTGGGAGGTCCGTGTGTGCTGCTGGGGGGTTCAGTGGAGCTGGTCGATTCAAGAGTTCTTTGAAGTGTTCTACCCACCTGTTTTGTTGTGCTATTCAATGTGATTACCTCGCCGTCCTTGCTTTTCACTGGTGGTTCTGGTTTGCGGCGATTTCCAGAGAGTTTCTTTGTTATGTCATACAGTTGTCTCATGTTCCCTTCTCTTGCAGCCTTTTCCGCCGTCATTGCTAGATCTTCCACGTATTTACGTTTGTCGGTTCTGATGCTCTTCTTCACTTGTTTGTTTACTTCTGTGTATTCAGCTTGTGCCTTGGCTTTTTCTGCTCTTGTTCGACTGGTATTGATTGCTGACTTCTTCCTTCTTTCTTGAATCTTATCCAGTGTATCGACAGTGATCCATTCCTTGTGATGGTGCTTCTTGTGACCCAGGACCTCATGACATGTTGAAATGATTGCCTCTTTGATCCCCTTCCAGTTGCTCTCCACAGTAGTTCCTTCTCCGTTGAGTACATCATGAAAGGCGTGGAACTTATTGCTCAGGACTATCTTGAATTCGTCGGGTTTGTTATTATCCTGAAGAAAGGCCGTATTGAACTTTTGTGATATTGTCCGCCCCATTGTCCAGTGTTTCTTGAGTTTCAATTTCATCTTGGCGACCAGCAAGTGATGATCTGAGGCTATATCAGCTCCTCTCTTGGTTCTCACGTCCTCTATAGTCCTCCTGAACGTTTTGTTGATGCAAATATGGTCGATTTGGTTTTGCGTGGTGTGATCCGGTGAAGTCCATGTGGTTTTGTGAATGCGTTTATGTGGGAATATGGTGCCGCCTATGACCAGTTTATTGAAGGCACATAGGTTTAAAAATCTCTCACCATTTTCGTTCCTTTCTCCCAATCCTTGTCGTCCCATGATGTTTTCATATCCATAGTTGTCCGTTCCAACCTTGCGTTTAGACTCACTTCTCCCATCAGAATGGTCAGGTCCTTTGTTTGGCACTTCTCGACGATTGACTGCAGCCTATTGTAGAATTGATCTTTAGCGTCTTCATTGTAGTCGTTGGTAGGCGCATAGCATTGGATGATGTTCATTGTAATGCCCTCTTTCTTTGTTTTGAATGAGGCTTTGATGATCCTCGGTCCATGAGATTTCCATCCTATAAGCGCATTTTGTGCTTGTTTGGACAGCATCAATGCAACTCCTTGTGTATGGGGGCATTTTCTTCTCCATGGCCGGAGTATAACAAGCTCTCCTGAAGTTAGTCGTTGTTGTCCAACTTGCGTCCAATGTGTTTCACTGATCCCAAGTACCTCTAGGTTGTATCTTCTCATTTCTGCAGCAATTTGGAAGGCTCTCCCGGTGTCCCACATTGTACGAACATTCCATGTACCTAAATAAATGGTCGCTCTGGTTGTCAGAAGGGGCATCGGCCTCGTAACTTCCGAAGGAATTCGGCTTTCATGATGAGGCGTCATAGTTCTTCTAAATGAAGACCTTCTGACTCCCCTGGCAGAGGTTAAAAGGTTTGAATAATTTTTTCTGGTTAGCGTTTTTTTAGCGAGTTAGTTTTCTACGGGATGGGACGCTAACCCCATGCCCAACCCTCCTCCTTTATCCGGGCTTGGGACCGGCAGTAGCCCCCGGAGGGACTCCAGGCGGAGTTAAAAAACGTGTACATAGAGTGTTCGAAACCGTTTGTTTAGGAAAAGTGTTTTCCTTTTTGTATTGTTAACTGAAAATGCCGCTAGAAAACGGAATACTGGAAGTAATGTCTATACAATTCTTGTAGTGTATCTGACCATTAATTTGTCACGTCTGATTTTCAAAAAATGTATAGATTTCTACTAACTAGTTCATTCGAATCGTTGGTAAACCAATATATATATATATATATATATATATATATATATATATATATATATATATATATATATTTCTTGGTTAGAATTCTATTTCAAGACTATGTGCAAATTTGTTTCTTCTTTACTTTTAATATGTATTTTCCAATTGTAGAGCCAAGAACGAATTGGCAAACTGAAAGACGTTCCAAAGTTTTCTCATCTCCATCACAGTCTTGGAGGCCGGCAAACAATGCATTTTTCGTATCTCCTACATATGAAAATCGAAATACAGGCCGCCGATACCAATAACATTTATTGCTTATTATATGTATATGAATATGTTATATTCAAATTTGACAAGCAAATCTCTACCTATATCGATTACATTTAGCAAGTGTATTAATTGTGCTAAATTTTTTATCCATGAAGGTTGTTGATCTGGATTAATTCATATTAAACATTTTTTTAGACATATTTTAACTTTGAACCTTCACAAAGTAATTGAGCTATTTGTTGATCTACTATACAAATTTAGATATACGATGCCCGACGGCATTTGAAAGATTTGAAAATTAATTAGCAAAATCATACTCGTAGAAAAACCGACGAAATTAGGATTGAAAAAAACGACACAAAAAAATGTCTAAACTGAGTATAATCTAGAGAAAACATCCTGTTGCATAAACAACATAACCAGATTAAATAACAACAATTGATTCGGAATGAATACGAAACAACTGATAAAAAAATGCATTTCAGTAAATTTTGTTAGGACCGTTGTGGTTTAGTGTCTGAGAAGTGATGTGTTCTCACTGGAGCTACGAATGCATTGTGAGAGTTAATAATGAGTGTTTTGAGGATATATGCACTTGAGTGTGTGTTGGTAATTGTGAGATTTTGTGGGAAGGTGGGTGGATGAGTGAATTGATAAGGCGAGGCAGCGATATACTGATGTGCGTGACAGTTTGTCTTTATTTACAAACAAACAAATAAGTAATATTGGTGATGTGATTGCGATTAGCGTAGTTAGAGTTTGGATTGTTAAATGAGGTGTGGATGTCTACATGTTTGTCAGTGTATTGTATGGTGGTGTTTGAATAAGAACCGTTGTTGATCCGTCCTGGAGATGTCTAGTTTTGAGGAAGCCAACGACGAAGGGGAAATGTTTTCTGGTCTCTTCGGTGAACCAGGATTGAACTGGTTCTTACTTAGCACCAGGTAGATGTGTTTAGTGTGAGTGTGACGAATGATGTCTAGTATTGGTTTGTGTTGGGACGTGTGTTGAACTGTGTTGATTGTTTATAGATTATGGATGACTTGTACTGTGATGTTGGTCGTATTTCTGTTGATGATTAGGTGGTTGTGTATGTGTGGTGTAGTTGTTGTTATTGAGCTGTTTGCCTGCTTGTGTTTGTATGATAGGGAACAGTGTAATTGGTTTTGTTGATTTTGAATATGGTTGGACTGGGATCATTGAGTTGGGGTGTTTGTTTGTTAGTGTAGTTGACGACCCATTTATTCTGGGTTTGTAACTTTTAGTGTTTCACCTTGTTTGTCAATGGTTGTGATTATTCTATTGGCGTGTTTGTGTGTGTGTGGTGTTGGTGGTTGGTGTAGTTTGGTTATATTTGGTAGTGATTGTGGGAGGTATTTGTGAGATGTGTTCTGTTGAGCGTGAGGCGTGCTGATTAGTTTGTTGATGTGATGAGGGAATTAGGTGAGTGATTGAAGTGAGATGTGTGGTTTTCGTTCGAGCTGTTGGAGTTGGATTGATTGATGATATATAATGTGTTGTTCAGGTGGGAGACGGTGTGTGTGGTGATAGTGTAAGTGTGCGTGTAGAAGGTTAATGAGTAAATTAGTTAAGTGTTGAATTTGTGTGGTTTGATGTGGGTTTACGGTTTGTGGTAATCTCTGAGTAATGAAAATTCTGTTCATACTTTGTTGTAATGTGTGTTGATGGTTTGACGGTAGTGGTGTGTGTGTTTTTGTGAGAGTTAATATTTGAATGAAGTGAAGTATTTCAGTAAATTTTGTTAGGACCGTTGTGGTTTAGTGTCTGAGAAGTGATGTGTTCTCACTGGAGCTACGAATGCATTGTGAGAGTTAATAATGAGTGTTTTGAGGATATATGCACTTGAGTGTGTGTTGGTAATTGTGAGATTTTGTGGGAAGGTGGGTGGATGAGTGAATTGATAAGGCGGGGCAGCGATATACTGGTGTGCGTGAAAGTTTGTCTTTATTTACAAACAAACAGATAAGTAATATTGGTGATGTGATTGCGATTAGTGTAGTTAGAGTTTCGATTGTTAGAGGAGGTGTAGATGTTCACATGTTTGTCAGTGTATCGGATGGTGTTGTTGTTAGTGTTTGAGTAAGAACCCTTGTTGATCCGTCCTGGAGATGTCTAGTTTTCAGGAAGCCAACGACGAAGGGGAAATGTTTTCTGGTCTCTTCGGTGAACCAGGATTGTACTGGTTCTTACTTAGCACCAGGTAGATGTGTTTAGTGTGAGTGTGACGAATGATGTCTAGTATTGGTTTGTGTTGGGACGTGTGTTGAACTGTGTTGATTGTTTATAGATTAGTGATGACTTGTACTGTGATGTTGGTCGTATGTCTGTTGATAATTAGGTGGTTATGTGTGTGTGTGTGTGGTGTAATTGTTGTTATTGAACTGTTTGCCTGCTTGTGTTTGTATGATAGGGAATAGTGTTATTGGTTTTGTTGATTTTGAATATGGTTGGACTGGGATGATTGGGTTGGGGTGTTTGTTTGTTAGTGTAGTTGACGACCCATTTATTCTGGGTTTGTAACTTTCAGTGTTTCACTTTGTTTGTCAATGGTATTGATTATTCTATTGGGGTGTTTGTGCGTGTGTGTGTGTATAGTGTGCAGTTTGGTTATATTTGGGAGTGATTGTGGGAGGTATTTCTGAGATGTGTTCTGTTGAGCGTGAGGCGTGCTGATGAGCTTGTTGACGTGATGAGGGAATTAGGTGAGTGATTGTAGTGAGATGTGTGGTTTTCGTTCGAGCTGTTCGAGTTGGATTGATTGATGATATATATAGTGTGTTGTTCAACTGGGAGACGGTGTGTGTGTGTGTGTGTGTGTAGAACGTTAATGAGTAAATTAATTTAGTGTTGAATTTGTGTGATTTGATGTGGGGTTACGGTTTGTGGTAATCTCTGAGTAATGAAAATTCTGTTCATACTTTGTTGTAATGTGTGTTGATGGTTTTACAGTAGTGGTGCGTGTGTGTGTGTGTTTGTGAGAGTTTATATTTGAATGAAGTGAAGTATTTCAGTAAATTTTGTTAGCACCGTTGTGGTTTAGTGTCTGAGAAGTGATGTGTTCTCACTGGAGCTACGAATGTATTGTGAGGGTTAATAATGAGTGTTTGGAGGATATATGCACTTGAGTGTGTGTTGGTAATTGTGAGATTTTGTGGGAAGGTGGGTGGATGAGTGAATTGATAAGGCGGGGCAGCGATATACTGGTGTGCGTGAAAGTTTGTCTTTATTTACAAACAAACAGATAAGTAATATTGGTGATGTGATTGCGATTAGTGTAGTTAGAGTTTCGATTGTTAGAGGAGGTGTAGATGTTCACATGTTTGTCAGTGTATCGGATGGTGTTGTTGTTAGTGTTTGAGTAAGAACCCTTGTTGATCCGTCCTGGAGATGTCTAGTTTTCAGGAAGCCAACGACGAAGGGGAAATGTTTTCTGGTCTCTTCGGTGAACCAGGATTGTACTGGTTCTTACTTAGCACCAGGTAGATGTGTTTAGTGTGAGTGTGACGAATGATGTCTAGTATTGGTTTGTGTTGGGACGTGTGTTGAACTGTGTTGATTGTTTATAGATTAGTGATGACTTGTACTGTGATGTTGGTCGTATGTCTGTTGATAATTAGGTGGTTATGTGTGTGTGTGTGTGGTGTAATTGTTGTTATTGAACTGTTTGCCTGCTTGTGTTTGTATGATAGGGAATAGTGTTATTGGTTTTGTTGATTTTGAATATGGTTGGACTGGGATGATTGGGTTGGGGTGTTTGTTTGTTAGTGTAGTTGACGACCCATTTATTCTGGGTTTGTAACTTTCAGTGTTTCACTTTGTTTGTCAATGGTATTGATTATTCTATTGGGGTGTTTGTGCGTGTGTGTGTGTATAGTGTGCAGTTTGGTTATATTTGGGAGTGATTGTGGGAGGTATTTCTGAGATGTGTTCTGTTGAGCGTGAGGCGTGCTGATGAGCTTGTTGACGTGATGAGGGAATTAGGTGAGTGATTGTAGTGAGATGTGTGGTTTTCGTTCGAGCTGTTCGAGTTGGATTGATTGATGATATATATAGTGTGTTGTTCAACTGGGAGACGGTGTGTGTGTGTGTGTGTGTAGAACGTTAATGAGTAAATTAATTTAGTGTTGAATTTGTGTGATTTGATGTGGGGTTACGGTTTGTGGTAATCTCTGAGTAATGAAAATTCTGTTCATACTTTGTTGTAATGTGTGTTGATGGTTTTACAGTAGTGGTGCGTGTGTGTGTGTGTTTGTGAGAGTTTATATTTGAATGAAGTGAAGTATTTCAGTAAATTTTGTTAGCACCGTTGTGGTTTAGTGTCTGAGAAGTGATGTGTTCTCACTGGAGCTACGAATGTATTGTGAGGGTTAATAATGAGTGTTTGGAGGATATATGCACTTGAGTGTGTGTTGGTAATTGTGAGATTTTGTGGGAAGGTGGGTGGATGAGTGAATTGATAAGGCGGGGCAGCGATATACTGGTGTGCGTGAAAGTTTGTCTTTATTTACAAACAAACAGATAAGTAATATTGGTGATGTGATTGCGATTAGTGTAGTTAGAGTTTCGATTGTTAGAGGAGGTGTAGATGTTCACATGTTTGTCAGTGTATCGGATGGTGTTGTTGTTAGTGTTTGAGTAAGAACCCTTGTTGATCCGTCCTGGAGATGTCTAGTTTTCAGGAAGCCAACGACGAAGGGGAAATGTTTTCTGGTCTCTTCGGTGAACCAGGATTGTACTGGTTCTTACTTAGCACCAGGTAGATGTGTTTAGTGTGAGTGTGACGAATGATGTCTAGTATTGGTTTGTGTTGGGACGTGTGTTGAACTGTGTTGATTGTTTATAGATTAGTGATGACTTGTACTGTGATGTTGGTCGTATGTCTGTTGATAATTAGGTGGTTATGTGTGTGTGTGTGTGTGGTGTAATTGTTGTTATTGAACTGTTTGCCTGCTTGTGTTTGTATGATAGGGAATAGTGTTATTGGTTTTGTTGATTTTGAATATGGTTGGACTGG